GTGACAATGACTAATTCATACCGAAATAAGCTGAAACTGATACACGATCCAATCCAAACTGGTAATAGGTCGGTTTTACAGGATTATCGCTAAGTTTACCCCAAGTTTTCGCACTGTTTTCTGCAGGTTTCGGTTTAAGTTTTGGCACAGGTTCAGGCTGAGGCTGAAGTGGTAATGCGATAAAAGCAAAGATCACTGGTCTAGACTAAACAACGAATCAGTTTCAGTTAATACCTGTATGGACTGAACCGCGAATTAATTTTAGACCACACCGGCATTGACGGATTACCACTCTGGACGGTGAGCTACAAACTTTTCGCCTGATAAGAAAACTGACGATAAATACAGAGTATCAACGAAAGAACTGCTTCCACGAGGCAACAGAAAAAGGAAAAGCAGTAGTATCATGGTTATCATGTTGACTGCAGCGCGTTAGAAAAGTAAAGGAACGCAGCAGTTTTCGTTTGACCTATTATGGTAAAGTGCAAAGTAAATCACCATATGTGCGACAGGGAAAAGACAAGTGAAAATTCGCCAACTTTCATTTTAAAAAAATATTGTCCCTGAATGGCAGTGCATCGCTGATGAAAGGAGGTAATTACAAGCGATAATTTACAAAAACAGAGGATCTGCAGAATTATGTTAACCAAAACCTGACGGAATGCCATTTTCTCCTTGATCAGTATTTAATTTCGTCTGTCATGCAATAATCTTAACGTTGTAATAAACAAACAATTTAATACAAGAAATAGGCGTAATTCTAACCATCTGTTTATACAACGTTACGGTACCATCTTCAAATACTAGAGGGGTACCGACCACTTACGTAGGCAACGGCAACGTGGCATTTTAGCACCTAGAGTGCATCGTCTACATCATTTTCTTAGTCTACAGCAATCCTTCCTCCTCATCAATGACGGATGTTTAAGGAAACTTTATATGTTTTACCGGGAACGTCAAAAAATAGTTTCGAACGCAGCGAATGTGTTAATATCATTCCACCTCATTGGCATTACAACACCTTCTTGTTCCGAAATCTAAGCGACCGGTTGTGACGAGTGGTGGCATAGTCCTTAAACGGTCGGATTCGATTCTGACACAGGAACAACCTTTGGTACAGAATATGGTGTCTTCCGACGAAGTTTCAAGCGGCAACGAAGCACTGGTTTGAAACTTAAATTTAATAAACAGTTTATTAAAATAAATACGTATTCCATACTGATTAACAGTTATAAAATAAATTAAAGACGGACTGACGAGTACGCGATCACTGACTCATCCGGAGCAAGCTTTGCAACTATCCCACATCTCATAATGGCTAAATCAACTGCAGTAAAGACCCAACTTCGTGTATTAGTCCCTCTGTATTTGGATGACGAGCCTTAGAGGAAGTGGGCCCGGGGCTAGGGATCTGAAGGAGACGCAGTTTTGTCGGGTTGTACAGGTGCAGATTGCACAGATGCATGTAAGAGTATACTGGAGTCCTAGGTAGAAGCATGGAGAAAAAGAAACTGATTGAAGCTTATTATGAGGTTTACGGCTTTATTCTAAGAAATATCGGTTTTAAGTTCATCAGGCATGTGTCATATGCTTACTATCGTCGTTCCATTCGGTGGACGACATGTGAATGATTGGGTTGCACAAGAAAATGTTCCTTGGAATGCAACGGTAATCGAAGAAACTTCGTGTAAATGGCGGCAAAGTCGAGACGTCGAACGCGAGAAAACCTAAAAGAAGAACCCGTCTGCCATATGCATTCCCCATGTCCAATGACCCTCCGAACGTCCGTTCATCAGCAGATCTTAAATTCTGCGAATGACACCGTCGCTTTCAGGTCGAAGGTAAACTTAAATTACCACTTACCAAGAGAAAGACTGTATTCCATTGAAAAGGCGGCGGACTTATTTATCAGACCAAGTGACCAAACTGCAGCCCTCGATATGTTGTTTAAAGATCGCGACCCTTACGAGTTGCAGCAAATGACCAAGAGTGCAAGCTACCGTGGCTACAAGCTACACAACAGTGACGAGCCAGAAAGATCTAAAGAAACTGGAAGTAACATCTGCGCCTGCACATCATATCACTACCGGTCAAAGGCTTGACTTCGCTGAAGCAAGATCTATCACCTGGTCATCTGACTCCTCTGAAAGATTAGTACTAGATGCTGTATTGATCCAAGCTGAGGACAATAATATGAGCTGGGACTGTGGAGTGGAAACGTCCAAGAAATGGATAAGCCTAATTATGCGCACTGGAAAGTTCAAGAAGTTAAAGGACCACGGAGTGACAGCTACAGCCGAACTGCTGACGAAGTCAACATCCGACAACGATATGACAGCTGCGTAACAACCGACAACCACGTAATGAAAGTATTGCTTGATGGGTTGGAATCTGCCAAACGACCGGCGCAGCATCAAACAAATATACTTCGTGAGTCAAATCACTTTTGTTGATAAGGGCTGGCAAGTTTAGTTGAGACCTGATTCGTTGTGTGAGGAATTCCGCTGTGTGGAACGAAGCTATTTTTAACTCTTAATAACTCAAGACAGAACACGTACAAATTTTAAGTTCAAACCAGTGCTAAGCTGAAACCTTGAAGTTACACCATATACAGGTTGAGTATCCCTGATCCGAAATGTTTAGGATCAAATTTCTTACGGATGTTTGATTTTTCTCGATTTTGGAATACATGATATGGTGGAGTTGAAGAGAACTGAGAAAAAATTCAGACTCAGAACAATTAGCACGGTAGTCACAGACACCTCGCCCTGACAATGTCTGACGGTTTACTATATACACATGGCACAGCCGTGTTAATAAACGAAACCGTCATGAGAACTTTCTCCTATTCGGTAGAGCCGTGCCTATAAGGAAACAGAAATCGATTAGGAAATTTATAATGGGTCGCAAAATTCCGAAGTGTAAACTATTAAAACCATTTAGCACGTTTCCTCATCAAAATTCTTCACTTGAATACGTGAATCTGCTTCCTTTAAATAACGATATTTATGGCCCAAAACAGTGAATTCCTATTCCAAAGGGCAG